AATATTTAAAGCAATGCTTGGTTGAACGTTACGAAACGCGTTTTCTTTCAATAAAAACGTAGTGAAATGAGTTTTCAAGGAAGAAAAATATATTTTTGTTACACTTTGATGTTCAATATTACTCTAACTACCAATCAGACTTATATAACAGTCTAGCAGCCTAAACATTTAGAAGAATTCGATTTTAATCTTGCGTTTGGAAAATTTGGGTCATGATTTTCATGTTGAAAAACAGAACAAGGAACAAAATTTTCAAATGCCATTTTCTATGATTTCTAAAATAATGTCAAAATTAACTTTGTTTAATTCGTACGTTTGGTACAGATAAATTTCTGCAAGATTCTGTATGCAAAACGGATATATTTTGCATCATTTCAAGCAAAAACGATGCAAAACGCATGCTGCAATCTCAGAAACGCGTTACGCAGTCCGTTTCCTTGAATATTTTACTCCATGGGTTAATTCTTAAAATCAGAGTTAAATATGCTCTGTTTATAGTCAGCACTAAGAGACAACAGGATTAAAGTTTAGATAGGTTTTTTCCTTGTAGCGGGGCCATCACTCCAGATTAAACTTTGTGTGATGCGAATGTAAGGTGATATTAATAGGTACGCATAGTTACCGTTAAATTTCATGAAACCAATCGGAGATAAATAGAACCTGGACAAGGATTATATTTTACCAATCTTCCTTGCATTTCCATACAATTAACATACTGAACTGTTACATGTCTATACTTTGAGTTTGATTCAAACTAGCAAGAACTTCTATCCAATTCAAATCTCTTTTCTGGGCAAAGTATTCTAAGCGATACAATTCGAACAGGAAAAGGTGATAGTCTACCCTACAGTTAATTTTGATCTAGTTCTAAGAATTTTCACTATCTGCTATGGGGCAAAATACTATGTTCTATCAAGCTTATGATCAGTTACATAGCAATGCACATTTAACTTGTCGACAGCCAGATGATGGTTTACGGCCTGCACAATATATGTGAATCCATAGGTATACTATGTCCAAATGGATTCAATAAAGAATACCCTTGATAATTTTCAGATTATTTTGTGCCATAAGGTCTTGTTTATTTTTTTGTAGGATCACATACATGTAGTTTTGTTCTTGATTTACCTTAATATTCATCGACTGACATCATGTATAATCGCTTGAAATATACTATAACTTATTGTTCAACCACTGATGAAGACAACAGCATGAATGAAGGTCCTGCGGCAAACTATTTGGAATCTAATTGAAGTGGAGATAATAGACGATAATATTCTTGATGGTCCTCAATGGACATTTTTTTTCTTCGTACGTCAGTCAGTAAGGATTGCTTTTTTCATAGAAGAATTCAAGCTCTATCTAAATAACGCAATGCATTGTATGTAAGTGGATCGAGATGAAAAATAAACGCTACAAATCAATGCAGAATGAGTGATTCCATTCTGAACTTGTTAATGAGCATTGAACTATATTCTCTTTAATATTTTCAAAGTCTAAAATTAACACGGAAAATAGTGGATGTAGGAAAAGAAAGAATTTATTCGTCTATAAAGTGAGCATGCAAAATCAAACGTTGATTTCACCTTTTAAATAAGTAACTGCTTTGCCTGATATGAGCACCCTATCACCTTGATTTTCACACCAAAGTTCCCCTTTACGCGTGGAAATTTGGTAAGCATGCAGTTGATTTTTACCCAACCGTTCAGCCCAATAAGGAGTTAGACTGCAATGGGATGAACCAGTAACGGGATCTTCAGGAATCCCGGCACTCGGTGCAAAGAATCTCGAAACAAAATCGACTTTATCACCAGGAGCAGTAACAATCACACTAAAAACATCATTAATGTTAGCTAACGCCATAAAATCCGGCGACAATTCTTTGACAGCAGCTTCGTTGTCATAAACGAGCATATGATCTCTTGCTTTATAAACTTCGATGGGAGTTATATTGCTGCGTAGCGCTGACAACAGTCCATCGGGCAAATCGGTTTTTGCTGCTGGACGAGCTGGGAAATTGAGGGTGTATAGATCTTTCTCCTTTTGGCGAGTTACTTTAAGTTCACCAGCTTTCTTGGTTTGAAAGTTAATTGTCTCACTCATTGGAGACATTTCAGTGTAAATGATATGTGCAGCTGGTGATAAAGTCGATTTTGTTTCGAGATTCTTTGCACCGAGTGCCGGGATTCCTG